TGTACTTGTTACATCGTAAGAAGAAAGGCATCTACTCTTATATTAGTCTGCCTGTCTTACCCTAATTACGAGGTGACCGTTGTCAGCCGAATAAAGCCTGTAATCCAGACCAGATGGTGGACCTGCACCCAGGAACGACCACAACACAGCCCCTCACATTCATGGTCAGTGTCCTCGACGAGACAAGCTCTCAGGACAGATCTTCAGCGAAGACATCTGTGTCTAAACAAGCCCTACAGCCAGCTATGAATGCGTTGTCTCAGGAGCAGCTGGGACAGAAATGTCGTTTTATCAAGAAGGACATCATGCTGAAGGCCACTGATAAGCCAGTAGTCTAATACTGGCTAAATGGTAGCTCTACCTTCTACATACCTACATACTATACATACTATACCTGCTGAACAGACTCTTCTTTTTTCCACTTAATTCTGGGCTGACGTACCTCAATCAATACCGTATTTGTTCATTTAGGCCAGAAGAGCCTGGTTTAATACAGATATGTACTTATTATTTAAATATATTAAAACAATCACATATCCCATTGAGAGATTACACTGTCAGAGAATTTGGGAATATTCACACATAATTTATACATATAAAACATGACATCAGAGTCACTAGATCAAACATTTTTGAAAAGAACAATACATGACTGTTGTTTAAACCAATGAGCATTAGGCTGTGTCATCATCAAGTCGTCATCATTGTACGCAGTCAGCGCAGCTTAGGAAGAGCAACTGTGCCCGACTGCTCTATCTGGCACTGCCATCATTTTTTTGACATATGTCACCATGAAATTAGAGCAAGTCGAACCACACTTGGACACATATCTAACCAGCATGCATCTTGTGAGATGACCGGAGATTGGTAGAGATGTGACATACAGCATCATTAAAAGTACTCTGACCCCCTAAAAGACACTTCACACCCTGCCTGTAAGTGCTCCCTATACATGTGTATGTGCATATGTACATTAATGCTGGTGTATGAGAGATGTTGACTACTTCACTATAGACAGAGTAAAGTTAAAGTTAAAGGGTTAGTTCACCCAAAATGTTGAAAATAAATAAATTAAAATTTTGCAACAAAAAATATATAAAATTAATTTGATTAATTTGTATATTCTTTAAAATTCATTGAAAAAAAGTAGCCTAAGCCTACGACATTATAAGCAAGAGTTGAGTTAAGTTAAATCAAATTGACTGAAAGTCATTTCAACTTATTAAAAAAAATCATTTGTTGCCATGACTTTTTGATCATATTATTACCTGTAACATCTGTGCCATACCCACATTAAGGTTAACGACCATTTCTGCAACCATTGCAACGAGGCAGCAGAGAAAGAGCCACAGCGTCTTCAGCAGCAAGCAATCCCGCATTCTCAGAACTGTAGCGATTATTTTGGTGTTTAATGCTAGACCTTTCTTATTCTTAAATTAATGCTTAAGGTTGTAACACACAAATAAAAAAAAAGTTTTGGGGATTTTCCCCTTAATTCAAATGAATGCGCTCATTAGGCTATTATTAATGAAAAAAAACCCCATAGGCTATACAATAAAATAGTAGCCACAATGACATATATTCACTTATATTAAACTTTGAACTTTTATTAGCCTAACAAAAGGAATAAGGATAATATGTTTTACCCATGTTTTAACACAAATTAATAATATAGAGCCATGCACGGGCCTCCAATAGGTCCTAGCCCGGCCCTTGCCTGACAGCTTATCAGAATTCTCGGCCCAAATCCGACTGGAGCCCGTGTCTTTTCTCTCTTCCCCCGGGGGGGTTCCAAGATTTTCGTTTTAGGGGGGTAGCCCCCAATGAGGGTATAATAATAAAAAATAATAGTAAATATATAAAAAAATAAAAAAATTATTGACTAATTAGTAAGGTGGTAAACTAAACTTTTTGCATTTAGCAACTTATTGTATTCCACTGTACTGCATAGATAGGTATAACATTTGAGTACTGAATAAGCCATACAAGTCTTCCTGAATCCTGATCTCTCTCTCTCACACACACACAAACACACAAGTTTGTTTTTGTGAAAAATGGGGACATCCCATAGGCGTAATGGTTTTTAACTGTACAGACCGTATATTCTATTGCCCTACACCAACCCTACCCCTAAACCTACCCCTCACAGGAAACTTTGTGCTATTTCAGGTTTTCAATACACTCCATTCTGTGTGATTTATAAGCGTTTTGAAAAGTGGGGACATGGGGTAATGTCCTGAAAAGTCACCTTCTCCTTGTAATACCTATGTCATACCTTTGTCATTATGCAAATGTATGTCCTCATTTGTCACAAAAACGCGAGCACACACACAGGTTTACATTCCATAGGCGTAATGGTTTTTATACTGTACAAACTGTATATTCTATCACCCTACACCTAAACCTACCCCTTACGGGACACTTTTTGCAGTTTTACAATTTAAAAAAAACTTTGTTTACTTTATTTTTATACCAGTTTTACAAATGAGGACGTCCCCAAAGGGAGGTTTTTGGAGATTTTGTGAGAAGGGTCTGGCTGCAGCTTGGCGCTTGCACTCTCAGACGTGCATTCTCAGGCTTGCACTCTCAGACACTTGCACTTCCTCTAGCGACGTCACTTGCAGTCTTTTTTATTTCTTATTTTGTTCTATTTATTGATTACTTTTTGTTTGAATCTCTCAACATTTTACAACAGTAGCCAGGTGGTGAAGACAAGAAAAAAGAAACTAAATTACTAAGTCACTTGCAACCGCCACTTGTACTCTCCGATACCTGCGACGTCATTTGCAGTCGACACAAATCATGCGTGTTGTCAATGGAGACAAGAAGCTGTGGTGATTAAACGATTAAAACTATAGCTAATATACAGGCAAGCAGGTGAGCCCAGAATAAATGCACCACGCACAGTTTCGCGTTAAGCGTTTTTCCATATAGAATAAACTGTTTACAGCTCTTTTATATCATTGTCTTTGTCCATTAAGATACATTACGTGTTTTATTTATAATGATTTTCTATAGAGGAAAATGTTTAACGTGCAATTTAACGCATTGCGTTCTGGGCTCATCTGCTTGTCTGTACGGAGTTGATCCTTTTAAAATCACTAATGCATTTCAAAATGCGCGTTCATATTTGCTGTTCTGTATATACTTTGAGTCAACAACAAGGCATATAGGCTACTGAATTGTCTTTATCATCCGTTATTATGCCACATTAAGCGTTTTGCTGTATGGGAGGACAAGTGAAAGTTTGCGCATTGTGTTCATGGCCATCTGCTTGCCTTGTAGTACATTAAATAATAACTATATATCGAATTTGATCTTTTAATTGAACTTAATGTATCTTAATACATTACGCCATGTT